CACAGGAGTGCTGTGCCTCCCACTTTTAAATGGACCCACCTGAGGGATGCAAAATGTGTATTAATAGGACATTGACCAAGGATCTCAAACTACTGCTCCCTAGGACTTATCTGACTTACAAATGTGTTTCATGGATAAACTTTTTCAAATTAGTTATTAGCATTTTAAAATCAGGAGTTTTGATATAGACATCAGGTTTTGAGGCTTCCTCAAAAAAAAAAAAAAACAATCAAAGGGTTTTTAACACTGTGTTCTCATATCCACCTGACACAAATATGCCGTGTGGGGAAATAGTGGTAGCCCACAAGGACATCCAGCTGGATGCCTTCCCCACAGGAGAGCCGGGGGTCTACTGCCACTATGATCACTCGCGAGGCATTTGTTTTTATTATACCTGGACATTTCTTCACTTGTGTACTACTTGCCTGGCCCCTGTAGATTGTCAATTTTCAACCTATAATGTAGATGATAGCTTTCCAAAGTTATGTTTTATGTACTCCTAGGCAGCCCCAAGGCAACATTTAAAAAAACAACAACAGCCATTCCTGTCTATGTAAACCTCTCATGGGCTATTTCATAATATAATAAAATACACTGACTTACTGTGTCATATTATTTCTTTTTCATTCGTTCAATCAATATTTATTGAGAATCTATGCCAAGTCCTCTGCTACCTCTGATGATATAAGGATAAATTAGATAATTCCTGTCCTTAATATGGTAAAGTCTATAGTAGAGAAATGGGGAGTATGCTAATGTGTAGAGTAGCTCAGGGGAGGAAACATCAATCATGCCTGGGGAAATTAGGAAAACTGAACAAAATAGGGTAACAACTCAGTCATGGAGAGTGGGGAGGAGGTAACCAGACAAGGAAAGAAAGAAATTTCTGGCACAGAAAATGATATGTGTGAAGGTACCCAGCTATAAACTGACACAAATTTTCAAAATAATGAGAAATTTATTGCTATTATGACTGAGGTTTAGGGGTGGACTCATGGAAGTAAAGCTGGAGATCTGATAAAGACCAGAAGTTTTGAAGTTTCACGGGAAACTTCAAAAGCCATGTTTAATAGAATCATCCCTGAAGGTATTATAAAATTCAGTCCTGTGAGTTTTACTTTTTGGAATATAATTCCAACCACAGGGAACCTCCTGGGTCTAGCTTTTACCATTTTCAATTCTCTTAATGTGGTTATAGTTTTAGATTATGTAATATCAGTAAAGGTGCTATCAGCATAGGAATACAGAGTTTGGAAATCTAGTTTTGGGTGAGTTCCTGCAGAGTACTGAGTGAAAAGAGACTGGAGCATGTCTACATTGTGGTCATTGGGTGAAGGCCAACAGAGTGCCCCCCACCACCCCACTGGATGCAAGCCTGTGCAGTGCTGACTGGGGAAGGAGGCCCCCTCCTAGTCACTTGTTAGTTGAAAGCTTGTGGACAACTTTTGGATTTATTTCTCCAAACCCAACAATATCCTTGGCAGGCAGAAGCACCCTTGACTGTGAGGTTCAGGATTTGTCAGTTAGGTTCCAGACCTTTTCTTTTGCTGTCTGGATTCATACTCAGCAGAGCCAGGTTCGTGAAGGACTATGTCACTACAGCCAAAGGAAGGCCACAACAAGCTGACTGTTTAGAATAAACCTGGATTCTCTCCAAGGTGTATTTGATCTTGACTACTTACAAAATCAGCAAAACATTTCATGAAATCAAAATGCACAAAGTAAACCATCCAAGAGGGCACTGTGCTTAATTAAAAGCAGATGAGATTTAGACAACAATTAAGGAAATAATTCTCTGAATGGAAGAAGTATTAAAATTGAAAGGATGTAAGAGGCACTGAACTCCACTTAAGTTTGTTTTACTGGAAAAGAGATGACAAACATTTTGAAGACGAACTCCTTTATTTTTAACTCACTAACTCAATGAGAGAATTTTTTCTATTGATCTTTTTTCATTGATCAAATGGGAACACACCAACCACTGTGCCAAGTTTGGTAACACAAAGTAACATTTTCATGTCAGAAAACTCAGCAGCACCAAGTTCCTGAAAGGGCGAGGGCCTAAGAGCTGTCCTTGACTCTGGTGTCCTGTCATGCAGTCATTTTTATCATTTCAGGAAAGTTAATTTTTAAGTTAATTTCTTTAAGTATCCTTAGTAGGGAAGCATGATAACAGTTAGCACACTAAAATTTTCAGCTTACAATTTAAAATCTGTAAAGAACTTAAAGTCATCTTTCCAGCTCTTTCTGATATCTTTTTCCATCTTGATTCTGTAACTCTAAAAACCCTGCCTGGCTTCACTAAGCCTTTTCTTAGTACTGGTTTGCACGAGTACGAAGACCTTTCTCAGCTTTTTCTGCCACCCTCACTGCAGCTGCCCCAACAGACAAAGCAACTGCACATATATAGCAAGAACTGCCACTATGTTGAGGCCTGAATGCCCACCTGTTCCCAAGAACCCACGCAAAGACATGTTTATGGAGCAACCTTCATTGAAGGAGGGGCGTCATTCCAATGCCTCAACTAGGGCCCCCAGAACTCGTAAAGCAAGCCTGCCTCCATCCTCTACACAGATGGTCTCTGGAGATATATTCTCTATCTGGACCATTGGAACACAAATATATTCAATCCTGACCCTAGAGGCATCATCAGCCCCTTCCAGCAAAGCATGAAGAAAACTCTAAAACTCTTGGTTCTCACAACTGTTTTCAAAACAAATAATGGTTATGCCCATAAACCTGTCATTTTAAGTGAATTTCCTAATTTAAAGAAGGGAAACATAAAAGTAGAAGCCTTCTCTGCCCATCTAATTCAGATCTGAGATTCACGGCTTAGTGTGTCTCATTATTCTACAACCGCTATCATAAAAGGAAGGCAGCATGTAACTGTTTAATGGACACTTTCACAGAAATTAAAGTGCTGCTTTTTCAGGAGACAGCCAGTCACTTTGTAGTTCAGACCCCAGGGAGCTCTGTGCATTGCTGTTCCTGCTGCCCCGTGATGCCCAGGTACACCAAGCACCAGCATCACCTTCTTTGTGTTTGAGTTCAAGCAGATAGATTGCATTGCTTGGTGATCAAAACCTTTGACCATCATACGAAACCCATCAAAATGTTCTTTTTTCATCTCGATTTCCCAGTCTTCAGCAATCAGCCTTCTAGAATGTGGCTGAGACACACCTCTTTCCTCTATTATGTGTTCTTTTGCTCTGGGGAATTTTGTTTGTTTGGGATTTTGCTCCCATTGTCTAGGGGGCTACTGACAAACTATTAAACATTGATCCCAGGAGGTCATGTTTGGTCAGAGTCTTTTCAATGGTAATAATAATTATGATGACGATGACTCCTTAGAGTTCTCAACTGAAACAGGAAAGGTGGAATTTAGTTCATAGAAAGGAAACAAGTGGTACATCCCTTTGACTCGTAACCTGCCCTTCCCTGCCTCTGTCTAATGATCCGGGATTCCTCTCTCAACACCAGACACAAATGGTAGTCTGGAAAAGAAATTGCTGCAGCTCAAGCAGGCATAAATGTGCAGATGTTTCTGATGTTAGAGGATTTTTTTTCAGATAATAGGTATGGGCCGTGTCATTGATGGAAGAAATAAAAACCACTAAATCACTAGGGGAGGTTATATTCAAACTCCACTTTCCCCTAACCCTGCAGTTCAAAACAGGTTTTTTTTGCTTTTTGTTTTTTTTGTTTTTGTTTTGTTTTTGTTTTTGTTTTTGCTTTCAGATGTATCCTGCAAGATAGTTTCTTGTCTTGTCATCCTTCTAAGAGAAGCAAGGCTCCTATGAGTACTAACCCCCCTTCTATCCCCAAACTGAGTATTTATGAGAATCTGTCCTTGAGCAAAGCATTTTGCAAAGATTTAAGGGGCAGGTGAAAAGGGTCCATTACCTTGTCCAGGCTGCTTTGCACTTGAAGCCATAAACCCTGACAATTTCCCCCTGGCCTTCTCCATTGTTCAGTCTTGTTGAAGCAGTGGTCACAGTTGGAAGGGGCAAGCAGATATTTGCTGACTCAACATGAAAAAAAGTGATAACTGAATTTTCCGGGTTTAAAATTTGACCTCATAAGAACAGATTCATATGTGTTTTAATGCAATTAATAAAGGACTTTGAAGATGTTGAATATTATGTGAGTACTGAAACTTTCTTTTCAGCTCAAACACACATGGGTGGTTATATGCTATTTGAATTTTTGTGGTTAATTAATTACCATTAGAAAGCATCAGCTTTTTCTTTTGTCTGCATGTGTACGGCTTTCTGGCAAATTTCATCATGTAATATGAACATCAAGTGTAAATTTGAAATGCTGTTACTAAAAGCCACTAAAATGGGATTGAATATTAAAGTCTGGGATACATAAACATTTAAGTGATGAATCTTCAGTTGTTAAGAAGGGGCTCAATGGAAAGTTACTGTTTATCAGCAAGCCAGCGCTGGTAAAGACTATCGCACTCTATGGGCCAGAAGAGGAGGAGAGCAGGACTTTGACAGTCTCTGGAACCTTCCAGTAGGCTGTGAGCACAGAGCAGAACTTTGTGCCCTTCCTCACAGCCCCCTTCCCAAAATAAAGCAGGCATTTTTTCATTCTCTGCAAAAATATTTCAAGTTGTTTTTTTTTTTTTTATTTCCTGCATTTTTGTAGCTGATTGGATTCAGGGATGCATTTGAAAAACCATTCCCAGAAACAGCAACAACGTAGAGAGCCACTCTGAAATTATGCCCCTGTTCCTTCTAAAATGATGGCACGAATAACTAGAGCCTACCTTTCAAGGGGCACCGGCCTTCGTTCCCAATTTTTTTTTATGCTACAACTTGTGAGCTGTCAGGCAGCCTGCTACTGTGTTGACTGGTCTTTGAGTTCCAGGTGATGGCTGGCAGAGGCCTCCTCTTCCCTTTGGGAGAATGACAGCTCCCTGGGTGGCGTGTTTGTGTTTGCTCACTTGGCTTTCCTTCCCTTTCCTTCCTGGGGGTCTCCCTGACTGGCAGCGCGGCGGTCCAGCAGGCCAATTGCCGATCCTCTGTGCCTTCCAGCAAGGGCAGCAGCAGCGGCAGCAGCAGCAGCGGCAGCAGCTCCTCCAGTGACTCTGAGAGCAGCTCCGGATCCGACTCCGAGACCGAGAGCAGTTCTAGTGAGAGTGAGGGCCGCAAGCCACCCCACTACTCCAGCCCTGAGGTAAGACTGTGCTCACCCAGAGCAGCCCCCCACCCTCACCCCTGCTTTCTGGGGGAATACTGTCAATCCCTGGAGTCTGCTTGTCACACGGCCTCCCTCCCCCAATCTCAGCGCATTAACACGAGGGCTGGCCTGGAGGCCTGACCAGTAGCTGGTCACCCCCTGGCAGCCTGTTTGGGTTCGCTTGGCTTCACCATTGTCCCCACGGTGTTCCCTCCGCACTTGTCCTAACTACAGAGGTTCTTTGAAATACAGAAATGTCATCTTTCATGGTCCAGAAGTCTCTGCCTTCACTTCCAGAAATTGCCAATGTGCTGGAATATCACTGAGTGGAAATACCTGTGGGCAGGCAAGGCAGTCACCACATGGGCAGCTCCCCTGCAAATGCAGCCACCATTTATCACTGAGGAAGGGGTGTCATTAATTAGACATGGTTAGAATCTATCTTTTTACAGTTTGTCATGGATTAGAAGAACAAGGACCATAAAAATATAAATAAAAACCTTCTTAACTGTGCTTTCTATGTGAAAATACAAAAAGAAAGAAATACAAATAATAATGAAAGCTTTTATAGCTATGCATACCTATAAGGAAGATTTCAGTGTTTCATATGAAAACTTTGTAACTCCCATAAACACCATTGCAATTTCTATTTTAAAGGGAAAATTAAATAGTCATTCAGAGCATAGAAATTCTTGAGAGAGGGTTAAGAGCAAATTTCTCAGATCCATGGATCTATGAATCTATGGATCTATAAAAAAATAGTTTTCTTCTTGAGTGTATAATCATTTGACATTACCAAGAATCATAGGATGTAGGTTTTTGTTTGTTTGTTTGTTTTAACCTATAACACTTTATACCATTTTGGGGCCCAAAATTTCTGAATAGGTTCTGAAATGAAACCAAATCCACTTATGTAAACCGTGGAGGCGGGGGAGCACCATGAAGGTCGCACAGCCCCCAGGGGTTGCATTAACTTACTGTTTTTATAGATTAACGTTGCTAAGGGCTTTCTCAACTTTTGTACCTGCCCCTAGAACATCATTACACCTGAGAGCAGTTCTTTGTCTCGAGTTCATACAGTGGCTCTTCAGTTCCCACAGGTTTTTCCCCTTCCAGACTCCCTTAAGGAGGTTGAGGCTTTCTTTACTCAGAAACAATGAGAAACCCAACGAAGTTTTATTTCCCCATAACTCTCATTTCTTCAGTGTCTCTCTGCTCTATTCTAAGAGCTCTTTATTCATCCTGAAATAAGCCAGATCTCCTGAATTTTTCTCTCCTTTCCATGTCTATACCCATATCTGTCTACATATATGTGTTCATATGTATGTGTGTGTGTCACCCTATAGGAGAAAGCCCTTATCAACATTAATCTGTAAAAACCGTAGGGTAATGTAACCCTATTTCCAGAAACTAAATTATTTCATTCATTCATTCACACATTCAGTGTACAACAAATAACATATTAAGCATCTGCCACAGACATGGTACATGCCTCTGGCCTTAGTAATTACCTGACAGAAATGTCCACTGTCTTCATAGAGCAGACAATCTAACAGGAATAATTTGCAACAAAAAAATATAGATCTGAAATATAATCGAGAAGTCTTCTCTAAGCCAGCTTTAATGCCTTAATTTGTTGAGAAATTTCAGAGTATTTAGTTATAAGAAATAACGAGGTTCCTTGGACATCTGCAGGGCCAAGGGGAATGGTGGGGGTTGATAATAAGGCATTAGTAACTGTAACAACACCCCTGTCCAAGCCTTTCTTTGTCACTGTAAAGGTTAAGTTCATATAAGTTGAGTTTTCTTTTCATGTTGAAATGTGAATGCTGTCGCTCCTGAATGAGCTAGGCTAGAAATCCAGCCTAAGTATAGTTATAAAGTGCTCTAAGCAAATTCTTTCTAAATGTCACTGAGATAATTACAAAGACATGAACCCCTCAGTGATGAAAGGAAGCTCTTGTCATTTCTTCCAGCAGCTATCAGAGGCCTCTAGGTAAGGAGAAGGAGCATGAGTTTGCTAAAGTAGACCTAAAAGTTTCAGATGCCTGAGGCCACATAAAGTTTTCAATTCCTTGCTTCTCTATGCATAGGGAAAACAGACGTGACAAGTGAAGTGTCAGCCTCACTGTGTGTTTGCCCTTTTTGCTGGAAAGGAATGTGTTCATTGGAATAAAAGTAAAGTTTCTTTCACCATTTTCCCCCTCAAGATTAATACAAACACACCCCCTATAGAAATAAAATGAGTTTGCAGAATGAAAATGACCGGGAAGTAGCATTATCCTACTAACCTTCCACTAATGGTAACACTGTTTCACTCTGAGCTGGGCAGATCACCTTGCAGAGACCAAAATCACTTGTCTTCCTGAACCCATAGGACAATGGGACTCTCTCTGGCTACATAACTCACACTCCACCACTCAGACCAGTTTGTTCTGCTTTGCTTTGAAGCAAGAGGTTACTGACTCGCTTCCCCTACAGACAACATGCCAATGTGGACATATGAAAAGCCTCTCACAATGTGCCAAGACCCCCAATATGCCAACCCTGGAAATCCACTGGCCTCAGCTGAACTGTCCTTTATGGCTCTGGTTATTGAAAACCAGTGCGTTTTACACACACCACCATAGTTCAAGTTCATGCAAGCTAGCAGATCCCTTCTTAATGACTTGACGTTTGCTTGGTTCTTCTAACCCTAATTTTTTTCACTTGAGTTTTGTCTTCTTCCCACCTAACTTTCTCATAGCACTTTGCAGGAGGACAGTGCCTTTCCACTCAGCTGGCATGCATACGCCAGCACCCAGAGCTGTCTAGACCACTGTTCCCTATGTGAGAGAAAGAAAGAAATTAGCCACGTGATTTTGAGGAGTGCCAGGTCAGGGGCATCATCCAACCCTTAATGTCACTCAGATAAACTATGTTTGCCATTGTGCCATTTCCCACACTTATCTGACCATGGAGACCTTTCTTTCTGAAATATGTGAACTAAAAGCACATCTTGGAGAATGCTGCTTTAGCTCAGCATGAAAATCAGTAGAAGCGTGATACTTGTTACTCTTTGATTCAACAATAGGCAGCTATGGGGTAAGTGGCAATGGCTGCTACGAGGAATATAGGTGTAGTGAGACTAACGTACATGGTGGCCCGGGAGCTGCTTCCTCTCTTTGCTTCGATTTGCCTTTGCTTCCAGCCATGCGGCTTCTGCTCAGACACCCAGAAGAGTAAATCAAAGTCTATGCAGTCCTGTACTTGAGCCTGTAATAAAAGATGTTTTCTTTGTTGCTGGTGTTCTGCTTTTAGGTCGAACCAGTGTCCTCTAACAAGTGGCAGCTGGATAAGTGGCTAAACAAAGTTAATCCCCACAAGCCGCCAATTTTGATCCAAAATGAAAGCCACGGGCCAGAGAGCAATCAGTACTACACCCCAGTGAAAGACGAAGTGCAGGACTGCGGCAAACTTCCCGATGTTTGCCAAACCAGCCTGAGAGAGAAGGACATCAAGAACGCCTGCAAGGAGGAGCAGAGACCAAGGACAGCAAACAAGGCCCCAGGGAATAAAGGGGTGAAGCAGAAGTCCCCACCCGCCGCCGTGGCAGTGGCAGTGACCGCGGCCGCCCCTCCGCCGGCTGGGCCTGGTGCGCCCTCGGAGAGCACGCCCGCGCCCGCCCGGAGGTCTGCAGGCAAGAAGCCCACCAGGCGCACGGAGAGGACCTCCGCAGGGGACGGTGCCAACTGCCACCGGCCTGAGGAGCCCACAGGCACTGAGGCTCTGGGGACGAGCGTGGTGATCCCTCCAGAGCCCACCAAAACCAGGCCCTGCGGCAACAGCAGAACCAGCCACCGAAAGGAACTGCGCTCCTCGGTGACCTGTGAGAAGCGCCGCACGCGGGGGCTGAGCAGGATCGTCCCCAAATCTAAAGAGTTCATTGAGACAGAGTCGTCGTCGTCGTCCTCCTCCTCAGACTCGGACCTGGAGTCTGAACAGGAGGAGTACCCTCTTTCCAAAGCGCAGGCAGTGCCAGCAAATGCCGCCGCCTCCGGGAATGACCAGAGGCTGAAGGAGGCTCCCAACAGCATCAGCAGCGGCTGCGGCCCCCGGGCCTCCGTCGGCTCCATCAACGCCAGGACCACCAGTGACATCGCCAAGGAGCTGGAAGAGCAGTTCTACACGCTGGTCCCCTTTGGCCGCAATGAACTTCTCTCCCCCTTGAAGGACAGTGATGAGGTCAGGTCACTCTGGGTCAAAATTGACCTGGCCCTCCTGTCTAGGATCCCAGAGCACCTGCCCCAGGAGCCGGGGGTCTTGAGTGCCCCCTCTGCCAAGGACCCTGAGAATGCGCCCCCCAGTGGTCATCCCGCAGACACACCCGCTGAAAAGGCCTTGCCAAAGTCGAAGAGGAAACGCAAGGTAGGCCGGGGGCTGGGGCATTGCCCAGGAGGGGGCTTTCCTCCACTGTGGCTGGTGTGTGGGAGGCTGTGGGTCGGACCGGCAGCAGGAGAGTGATGTGATCTTAACAGATAGTCTTACTGTATTTATTATTCAAAAGTTTCAATATATTTAGTAGATATATTGAATAATACAAAAATATATAATAAATTATTAATTATAAATGTAATTGTGATGAATAATTCAAATTATTTATTATTCAAACATTCATATTTATTTATTCATATTTTATGCATGCCAGATACTGTTGTAAGTATTTGATATGTATTAACTCAATTATAAGCTCTTAGTACCACCCAGTGAGGGGAGTTCCATCATTTTATATTTAGAGATAATTAGGCCTTGTCCCACAGCAAGTTGAAGAAATCTTTATCAAATGTGCAGAGTCGAGCTGTGCTGGGTCTGTTAGGAAGCTACACAGTGGTGTTCTCATTCTTCACGGAGAGGGATGGGCTGGGTGATGGTAGAAGCACTCATCAATCTGAAGATGCTTGAACAGGAGAATAATTTACCCATAAGTTAAACCGTGTCTTGAGGATTTTTAGTCCTTCCTGTTACTGCATCTTCAGAAGTAACCTGGACCACAAAAACGGGTTGGCAACCCACCATGAATGAATGATTCCAAACTTCAGACAACATCGTTAACTGCAACTAGCACGTGTGTAAGTCCTCCTGCAGAATGCTGTGCTAAGCACGTCCACCTCGGAGTCTGGGATGGCCCACGGAAAGGGGAAATGCATTCTGGACTTCCTCATCCCTCAACACACGAGTCCCATATCTGATGGAACATGCAACCTCCCACACCCCTGTGGTGTGCTGTGTGCTTGTACCTAGTCGCCAGACAGGACCCCTGGCCCTTGAGAGTGTCCCTGTGTCCCCCAGAACACAAGATAGAGTAGCAAAGACCGTCATGACAGGTCAGGAGAAAAACTTCAAAAACCAGGGAAATGCTTTCTATTTTAGTACTTGATAACAATCATACTTTTCCTGCTTTTTAAGCAAGGGACCTGGTGTTTTCATCCTGCATTGAAACCCAGAAATTATGTAGTCAGCCCTCATCTGCTGGGTGACATCACCTTCTTGGAACTTTGGTTTCCTCATCTGTAAAACGGTGGCATCTATGCAGGTGTGTTAGACAGTGTATTTCAGAGATGTTAGACAATGTTAACTTACCCCTTTCCTCCTCCTTTCTTCCTGTTTTCTTGTACACACCCTGTCCTCATTATTTTGTTGGTGCTCAATTCATTTTTGGTGAGTGAATGAAACAGTCATCTGAGAGTTGATAGATAAATGATGGAATGAGAGAGACATAAATATATTTTAAAACACAGATAGAAATTGATAAACATATAGGCAGACTGGAAAATTCATAGTTTTGTGGACATACATACATGCATCAGGAGAGATGAGCAGAAAGACATACAAAAAAATCCCAATATTAGGTATAATTTTATTATTCATGGGTTTTATACTTACACACCTTTCTTTTTTCGCTAAGCCTGACACCAGCTCTCATAATATCTAATGAATCATCATTAAATACAGACACAAAAGAAGTGTAAGAACATTTTTGCAGCATGATTTACTCAGCACCTGGCATGTGAAGACCCCAGTACTGGATGATGTAGGTGGGACACCATAGACCTGACGGCCAGAGGCACAGAGTCTCACCCAGTTGGAACCCTACAGCTCAGGACTAGGATTCAGAGCCCTGGTTTGGGTCCTTCTTTCAGTACAATTTCAGTAAGAGCATCAGGGACCATTGTGACAGAGGCTGTGTGACAATCAGCCAGAGAGAGAAGGTCAAAGTCTTTATCTTTGGTGCTGACGCCTGTCTCATGAAAGACACTGCTGAAAGCCCTGAAATGATCACTACTGTGTTCCTGCTGTCTCACCCAAAAAATGGAACTTTGTGACTGCATTTGCATTAAACCCTAGTACACTCCTAACTTTTTTTTTAATATTTATTTATTTATGCATACAGAACTGAGGGACAGGACAGAGGTGCAGGGTAGGGAGATGGGGAGGGGTGAGAGGACTCACCAGAGACAGAGTAGGAGCAGAACTGGCAGATGTACTGAAATACACTACTGAGGGAAGCAGCAGGTGGGTGAGGAGAGATCTGCCATGCCATGTGGGTCAGCTCCCTGGCTGGGGATCAAACTCATACTGCAGTGGCTTCGGTAGCTTCTTGGTACTGTTCTTTAATCCATTGCACCACAAGGGAGGGCCCACTCCTAACTTTAAACACAATCATGGAGAAGAGTCCAATCAAAGCACTATTTTATAAAAAGGTACTTTAAGGATTCTAAGATATCATAGTATAGTAATTGTTAACTAGAATTAAGGTACCAAGAAGTAACCACCTTTGCTTGAAATTCATAAAAGCCATGTTTTCCAAAGAAAGGTGCAATCTGGCCACTGCCCTACTGCATCCAGCCCAGATTATATGGTTGTTAAACATTCTGATGCTTGTTCTGATACAAAGAAATACCAAAATGAGAAACACTAAAGCTACAGTATAAATTCAGAAGAGGTCTTCATTGGAGGGCTGAATCCTAGGGCTATTAATGGTAGTGCAATTTTCATCATTCACAATGTCCCCTCCAAATTTTTAATCCTGTCCTCTCAATAAGCTGACAACAATAAAGCTGACAGATTCATCCTCATTCATTGAGAAGCTAGCGTGGACCAGGGGCAAGAATGCTCTGACCACATTGCAGTTGGGTGCTCTTCAGAGAAGACAAGTGAGCAGTCTCCAGGAGGCCTTGCTTGGGGAAGTTGGTAACAGAGTTTAAGTGACCCTTTGAAGTCCAAATCAAGTGGTTTTGATTATTCCCATGCAGTGTGACAATGAAGACGACTACAGGGAGATAAAGAAGGCCCCGGCAGAGAAAGAGAGCTCTTCACGACTGACTACCTCTGCCAATAATACCTTGTCTGCAAACCACTGCACCATGAATATCAACAGGTATGTGTCCCTGGAAGGTGGGGCCACTGGAGGTTATCTCTGCGATAGGACTTCATGGGTAGGGCCAGACTCTTTCAGTGACTGTTCTGATCAGGGTCTCCAAACTTGCTTCCCTTAATTCAACCTAAAGCTAATAATTATACCTGGATATGTGCCTCACATCACAACTCCAGGTGCCATGTAAGTACACATGGCCCCTAAACAATACAAGTTTGAACTCCACTAGTCCGCTTTTGCTTGGATTGTCTGTGAGGAGTCACAGATTCAACCAAAGGGGTTTATTGATTGAACCACATATATTGAGGGTCAACTATAAGTTCTATGCAAATTCCCCTCTGTGAGCCAGGTCAACATTCTTAATCCCCAGATTGCTGAAGAGTCAACTGCCATTCTTTATAACAAGATAGCAGTTAGTAATTAACACATTTCTACACTCCCATAGATATACTTTCCCTCTGAACATTTCATAGCTGAATTTTCAAACCATTATTTTTAAATCCATTTACTAAGCATATTATATGGTTAAAATGTAAACTTAGCAGACTCTCCATATGATGCACTTAAAGCTCTTGAATATAGACAAAATTGTGTTGTGATGGTCAACAAGATCTGTGCCTCCAAAGTTGCACAACCCCCAGTTACTCTTCTCAAGGGGTTCCAGCTGGACCTACATTACACTGAATCCCATCTGTGACAAATGGTTTTCCAGCAAGGCAAGGGCCAGATATTTATTGTAAGTGAGTAGCTTATCATCAGGCATAAAATCTCTTCCCATTTAGAAATCCCACAGCTCAGAAACTGCTTTACTTCTGCTAAGACACTCCCACTCTCCCTAACTGTATATGTAAAATTTTTAAGGGAAGATTAATGTTTCAGCATAACACATAAAAATGTAAACTGAAAGGCTAGGAAAAGATGTAGAACATTACTAAAACTCGGAGAGGAAATTGGAGAGTGAGGACACACAGCACAGGTAGCCTGCAGTGTTAGAATCACCTTGAGAAGGAGAGTGTCACCTCTTTAAGGCCTGAGCAGGAGGGGGACTGAGTCAACATCCTCTATGCAAAGCAGATGGTACCTCAAATATCGTGCAAGTGTGAATGGAGAAAATGTGATCCCAAAATGTCTTTGAAATATGCAATACAGTAACACATTTGCTTCCTTATTAATGCATTAAATAACCTTTCTAGGAAGCCTGTAGCTACCATAATTTCTAAATAGTGATGAATATAGACAATATTTCAAGATGCCTGTAATAACTATAACATAATATGAAATTATCTGTGATTTGGTCTCACAATCACAGGACTTACGAATGCCATTGCTACTTAACTGCTACTCATGTCTTGCTTTTATTCATAAAAGAAAATGTTCTGTTTCAATGAGAAATTAATGAAAATGAAAATGTAATATTGTCCTTCCAGTTTCATGACCCTGAGGAGACAAGTGCTAGCTTTAGAGCATTTGCCTAGCCACATCTTCTAGCTTTTGACAGTTTTACTTATGTTAATTAATGATACAGTGCATATAAAGCATGATGTTCCAGTTCTTTCTAGAAACATGGTCTGGAATTGTGATTACTGTTGTCAAGTTTCACCATTTTGAAATAAAATCAAATTTTCACCAAATTTGATTTAAGGTGAATACCCAGCCCAGAGAGAGATTCAAAGAAAGTTTCTTTGGTCCACTTGAGCATATACTTAGAATGATGAAGAAGAAATAATCATAATCCATGACAACATTTAACATAACCGTTTAATTTTACATGAACATTTAAAATCACATAGTATGTAAAATAAGGAAGACTTAGAAATACATATTTTTCATTGACATTTCAAGAAACAATTATATTTAGACTGTTCCCACCCAACTTTAACATCACTAGGCAGCTACTTTTCATTTACCCAAGGCATTTTCCAGAACACATCTCACTTCTAAGTTGTTAGATGCCAGTGCTTTTTGGACCAGAAATCTATCACCGGAAATTCGATGCTACATTGATCTATTTGCTTAACTTTGAGAACCTCAGCTTTATTGCTTTCTGGAGATCTGTGTTTGTCATTTGTACAGAGACCACAACTAAGAAAATTGCTTTTTGAAGTGACTTTAAAGACACTTTAGTAGTCAACACGTATAATTAATAAGTTATAACTGCAGGAAAATTACTAAATCTTTGTTAAATGGTTTTACCTTTTTTAAAAACCATCTGGTGACTGCTATGAGCATCCCAAATTAGCAAATACAGCATTTGTTTCAGACTAAGGTGTCTTCTCCCAATTTTCTTTAAGTAATGGATAAAGCTCTAACGATATAATATATATTGCAGAGATTCAAATATAAGTGACTCCTTTCTCAGATAGCTAATGTGAAAGGAAGTTAGGAAAGCACAGATAATCATTAAGATAAAATAAGAAGCTAGGAATCAAAGGTATAACTTCTAATGACAGTTTTTCTATCCTGTATTTATTCTGATCAATGTTTGGTTAGCTCAGAAACCTAACATATATAAGTTCACTTCTTGCTTTGCAGTTTATTCTATAATTTTATTATTTTCTACATAGTATTTACAACCTCAGACATTAGCAAAAGTCCATTTAAAAGTGGAGTACTCATGTCCTTTGACTCCCATTACTTGCTGTGTATACCTATAAGAAAACAGAAAGTTAGGCCCTCCCTGGTGGCGCAGCAGGTTAAAGCACAGCACTGAGAAGCTAAAGCCACTTCTGCAGGAGTTCGATCCCCGCCTGCCCCAGAGGTGACCACAAGGCGTGGCAGACCTCTCCTGACCACCCGCTTCTCCCCTCAGCAGTGTACTTCATCAGTCTGCCTGTTCTGCTCCCCACTCTGTCTCTGGTGAAGCCTCTCACCGCCCCTGAGCCTCTGGCCTGTACTCCAGTTCTGTATGCACAAATAAATAAAAATAAAATTTTAAAAAAAATTAAAATTTAAAAAATAAAATGAAAATTAAATTTTTTTTAAAAAAAAAAGAAAAGAAAAACAGAGTTATTCATTTGTACTTTGGGATCCTTGGATGAAAACCTTGAAAAATGAAAGTACATTATTCTTAGTCATTTACATTGGTGCTAACTCCAGAATTATTATTCATCTTGATAGGAAGAGTAAAGAAGCAATGAATGAAATTGGCTTATTGTTTGTTATTGTCTTGATGCCATAAAATTGTTTCCTGGTATAATAATTCCTAATAAACATCTTCCCACCAGCAGATTTTAAATGAGCCTTAGTCATATATAAACTACTTACCTTTCCCTGTGCTGACTGTGACATTCCATTATTGTGATTTCTGTTTTCAGCTTGGCAATACCAATAAATAAAAATGAAAAAATGCTGCGGTCACCCATCTCACCCCTCTCTGATGCATCTAAACACAAATACTCCAGTGAGGACTTAACTTCTTCCACCAGATCAAGTGGCAACAGTCTTTTCACGTCTGCCTCCTCCAGCAAAAAGCATAAGACTGAGAGCCAGCTGCAGTCTCATGCCGGAGACTTCACAGTATGTTGATGTTCTTCCTTTCCCAGTTAAAGTCAAAATGAAATTGAGCACACCACTGTCCTCTTCCTCTAAAACAGCACAATCTAAACACATACTTGAGGGCTCACAAGGAGTCCCTCCCTGGGAAGACACAGCAGAGAAGAGCGCCCCTTCAGACTTCCCACCAAGAGCTGGGAAAGAAGAAATTGGAAGAGGCATTTTAATCCTCTTCTGCTTAGGAACCCTCCTTGTAGGATTTTAAATCTCGATGTGTAAAGAAAAGGCCCCAAAGTAATCACTATCAGGACAAAGTCAATTGGGAGTTTGGGACCAATCAGTCTCCTCAGCTGGAGAGATTTCTTGCCCCATAGCAGAGCTAAATCTGGGATAGAAACCCCAGGTCAAAATTGCAGGGCTTCTCCTCTGCTCTTGGTAACCAGGTAGTAGAAACAGTTCATACCCCTGCCAGCTCCCCTCTTCCAGCAACCTTCTCAGGGGTGATTACTCTGTACTCCTTGGGAACTTAGGTCTGTCGTCCAACTGTCTTCACATATTAGCTGCCATTGGGCCCTTGCGGAATCTCTCTGAGCCTATTTCATTTGCAAAACAATGGTGTAAGAGTTAAATGAGAAATTATTATCTAAAGAATCCAACAACTATGGCCACTGGCACCACTAGTACTGCACATTAGTCCCTCTTTACCACCACCTTCAGTCTAACAGTTGGTGGCCCTGGGCCTTGCATACTCCAGGATACATGATTCAACTCCACACTCTCCCCTGCCAAGTTCTCTTTGTTCTCTCAGGTCACAAAGCTTATCAAAAGTATTGCATTTTTATGGCAAAAAGAGGTAAGACATGAATAGAACTCTGAAAAGAAAGATGGGGTGCGGGTATGAGGAAGCAGGAGGATCTGTATTTAATACGTTAGCCTACGAATGGAGGAGGTAAAATAATGAATAGGAGGTCCTACAAGAGCCTAAATCACACCTTCAGGAAATTAAGCCACTTATGTACCCTCATCTGGGAGCAATTATCTTTAATTCTTGGTGGAAAGAAAGCCTGTAGAAAAACCTATAATAAAAAGCTACCAATGCAAATTAAAAACAAAACCTCTTTTGCCTCTAAATTCTTATATCACAAGCAACTATGGTGTGCAGAATGTTGTAAGCCAATTGCAGATTTTAGAGTCATTCTTTCACCAAACAGATACTTATCGAGCAAACCGGTATTTATCAAGCAAGTACTTTCTATCCACCAGACACTGTGCTAAGAGAGAAACACATACATTGATAATCTACCAGATTCAGTCCATGCTACATAAACTCACAATGAAGATGGGAAAGAGACTTAAACTAGGGATCTTACCCATAATTCACTACTTTGTTTGCCAAAAAGGAAATACAGAGTTCTAGGACCTCCTATAACAACGAGACTTGGGCAACACCTAAAAATGGTCCATATTTAAATAAGCATTAGGATACATTCAATCTTAATTGCTTTAGTCCATTTCTATTTCATAACCAAAGACAGTAGTTGTATGATCCATGTATTTAACACGCATCAATATTCTATAAATATTTATATGCCCAAGAAATATGATCTTTTAATTTTTCTGTAGATCAATTGTGTTTCTTTTTCAGACACATTTTTAATAATTTCTGCTTATCCCCTTTGGCTGTCCCTGTTCTTCATAGACAGCTAGTGAGGACCAGTCCAGTTGTGATCCAAATGGCTTCTCTTTTGCAAGGGATGATTTAGCTGAGTGGCTCTGAAGGCTTAGTTCCTGAATCAGTATCATGTGAAACCTGAAAGAATTGCATATTCTCAGACCCGTCCATCCTCAACCTACTGAATCAAAAACTCTGGAGGATGGGGACTGTTTTGTCCCAACTTCTGTGACCGGCTACAAGAAAGAAAGGCAGGAGGCAGAAAGGCTGGGCAAGCAGTTTATTGCTCCCGGGCAGCAGCTGAGCGGGTCCGCAGCTACTGCCAACTCAATAAGGGGGAAAGGGTCTCTTATATAGATTCTAGGTTCACATTCCAAAGGGGTGACTCATCGCTGTGTCCCCTGATGCTGGACCCAGTTCCTCCCACCTGTATCTCCTGGATGCTAGGCCCAATTAATTATCAAACTTGGGTGTGAGGCCCAGTTTGTTATCACCTTCAGCTAGTCGCATCCCAGATACAAGGTTAGTTTATTACCACCTTATCAAGCTTGGATGCAAGACTCAATTCTTTACTGTCCTAATTCAGTCCTTGTCAGTAAATCTTTGGTCACTCCCAACAGGGACCAGCTGTCTGCATGTTAACAGGCTACCCCTGGATAATTCTGATACATAGTCAACTTGGAGAACCACATGTCTAGCCACCTGGGGAAAGTAAGGGCTCAGTTGTAAGTCCTGGGCCTCACCCACAACAGCTGTATGAAGTTTGGGCAAGTGACTTAACCTCACTAGCTGTAGGTTTCTGTCAGTCAGTATTTCTGGGTTTGTGAGAGTGACAGACTGAGCCTCCCCTTTTGACATTGTTTGAGAATGACATTTGACAATATTTGTAAGAGTCGTCAGCTTGATATCTGGAATGAATGTTTATTTAAACAAAAGTCACCATCAATTCTAATCTAGAACACAAATCATTCTGTTTTATGGGCTGCTTTTTCAGTCGGCTGGCACCTTTCTCACACGTGTGTGTTGTTTATTGCTTAGAAAGCAGCTCACAATTCCGAGAACGTTCTCCTCCACAAGTCACGGCCACAAACAGAGCCATGGTCTCCAGGTTCCAATGGCCACAGGGACTGCAAGAGACAGAAGCTTATCTTCGATGACATGTAAGTGTGGACTCTGTTGATATGAAAGGCAATGATAAAATACAAACCCCACAGGTGGACAGGCTTTATGCATCTAATTTCCAGTGTGGCCATTTCTGACAGATAATTTGGCCAGTTAAATGCTGCTCTCTCAAAAGCAATTAGAGCTCAACACTGAATGTGCTCCTGAGCCTGATGGGAGTTGTAAGTGGATAGAATGGCCACTTTCCAGGCTTGCATACAGGATATCAGAAAACTAAGACAAATGGCATGGGTGAGGCTTATATTTCTGGGCACCTGTATATCGGGCAGTTGGCAGTTTCATGTTATCAGAAGAGAAGTATTTTGTGTTTGTAAATTATAATAAGCAAGAAATAATGGTGATTTATTACCGAGAGGTTTTATTTTTTTTTTCCTTCTAAAATGTTATATTCTTTATAATACTGTAAACCATATACAGGAAAAAAAACCTGTCATTGTCACTCAACCCTACCGCTAAAACCTGAGTCCTAGTTCCACGCCTAGTGTCAGTAAAAAGGGAGGAGGGCCCATAACACAGGGGCCTCCTAGAAGGGTTTTAGAAAGCCAAAGAAACTACCCTCCCCCGTGTGGCCTCCAGGCTTGCACCCAGCATGTGTAGGCAGAAACTGCAGGTAACCACAATGAACACAGCCTGTGTACAGAGGGCATGCTGGTAGCTGGTGGCCATTGTGAGGAGTCAGGCGTGGAATCCACCTCCCTCCAGCATGCCCTCTCAGGCTGCCCCTGAAGCTCCTAACTTGCTACTGCTAAATAATGAAGAACTCCTGAGGAGATCTCTAAAGCCACAAAGTGGGCACACAATACATGGGAACTTTGGAACTCAGGTGAGTGTGACACCGTGAGGAGGGGGCAGTTCTGCAGCACCCAGCCACAGAGAGTGGAAGCTCTTGTTTTCCATCAGACCGAGAGTGCAAAATTGCCATGATAAAGAAATCCAAGAGGGAAGAAAATGAGTATTGTGAGAAACATAAGTAATGAATAGAAGATTTAAACAAGAAAATAATGGAGTCGCAGCATGGGAAAAAGATGAATAGAGGAAGGTCGCAGTACACAAAGGACTCAGGTGGAAAAGAGAAATAAGAAGGAAAAAAAATGAGGAAACACTTGAAGATTTTTCTGACTCCAATATGAAAGGAATGGGTATCCCAAAGGGGAAGTGGGGGGTGGGGGAGGTGTGGGGATCAGTTGTTGGAAGAAATAATATAGAAATTCCAAAAACTAGGGAAGGAACTGTCTACAAGCTCATGAGGCTAGAAAAACAACTGATATCTAAATGTAATGAGACCTGTAAGACCTATAGTCATGAATAGTTCAAGACAGGAGTTCAAGACAAAAAATAAAGAAAGAAAGTGGTTGGGGAGAAGAAGCAGGGAGCCTATGAAGGAGATCCTGCCTTGCTGACAGGCTTCTCAGAGGAAGTCCTGTAGGCAAAGAGAGTGAGGAGCAGTATATTCAAAACCTGCACTTGAAGAAAGGTAGAGGTAGAGTCAGACAACGCACCCTGCTTGGCACCAGGGATAACATAGAGAGAAGTCCAAAGAGGCACTGAACTCAGAAGATCCTAGATGTGGGGTAAAACCGGAGTATATCTCAGTTACCAGAAACCATCACTGGGGAAGCAAGACAAAAGAGACATGGAGAAAAATCAAGGTAAAGGAGAAAAGCAGTGAGTGCAAGGAAGGTAGCTGCTGCCAGAGCAGAAACCGGTATTCCAACCACAGAAGGAAAGACTGATTGCTGGGGATCTAACCAGAGAGTGCTGTGAGGAAACAGGCACATGGGACCCCAGGGAGGAGCAGAAACCCAGAAAGGCACAGCCCCCAAAAGCCGTGTCCCTCAGGAGTGGACAGATAGGAGGAAAGAATGGACACAGTGAGGCCTTTGTTGGAATTTGCCAGAATTGCTCTTACAACAGTGGAGAACCCAGTGAGGAAAACAAAGCTCAGAAAAATGCAACACCCAAAGCCCAGTTACCCCAAGAGTAAGCAGATAGGGGGACCAAGCATAGAAAAACACATTGGAAGGCATCAGAGCTGCACCAAAGGCCCACCACACAGACTGCAGAGATACAGATGGAAGGCTAACATTACTGACACAAACGCTAGCCAAGCTGGAATGCTGTTTATTCAAAAGTAACAAAGCCACACCTACACTCACTGAAAACCCAGCTACAGATTAAATCTTCCTGACATATAGCACCATCTACCGGCAGTTCTGTACCCATTATACCCACCCCCCAAATAGTAGGGAGGCAAAAAATACATAACAAGTAGCAACCTGAGTCCTCAGGGGAATATTATTCGACAAAGAGGAAACAAAACCCAATTACAAAAAACATGGAAGACCTTTTCTTCCTATCAGACACAAAATTCAAACTTGCCATGATAAAGAAATTCAAATAAAGGAAGAAAACAGAAAGGCAGAGCTAAGATATATTGGGAAATTAAATGAATGTACTGAGAAATAAGATAAATGAACAGAAGATTGAAATGGAAGCTTTAAATAAAAAGATACCCAAAAGATAGGATGTAAAAAGAGCAATAGAGAAGGTAAAAAAATCTGGAGAAAACTATGGAAGAATAGATCAAATGGCCTTGAGGATGTGAGTGCACAGATACTTCAGGTAGACGAAAAAGAGACACAAAGAAAAAAATGAAAAATCACTTTGAGAATCATCCAACTCCATTGTATTGCCTTACCTAAGGCAATATAAGAATAATGGGTATCTGGAGAGAGGGAGAGACAAAAAGGAACAGATAGAAAGAGAAGAATTACTAAAGAAGTAATAGAGAAAAACTTCCCAAACCTGGAAAGGTAAATATACAAGTTAATGAAGGTAAAAGAACACCAGATTACATCAACAGAATGAGGTACCACGTTACATAACAGTAAAAATAGGATTCCAGACAAAATCACTATTGGAGCTACAAGGGGAAAGAAGCAGATAACCTATAACGAAACTCCAGTTAGGCTTACAGTTGACATCTCTGAAGAAACACTAATGACAAGGAGCGAATGGAATGATGAGATCAAAGTACTTAAAGAAAAAAGATGCTAGTCAAGATTATGCTATTTTACAAGGCTATCTTTTGAATAGGAAGGACATATAAAGGCCTTCTCAGACTAACAGAACTTTAAAGAGTCCACCAGCACTCTACCTCCAAGAGACTTAAAGGCGCTCTCATATCTAAGTAGAATAAAAGAACATCTATAAAGAAGTAACCTAGGAAAAGGTGGAGCCACAAAATTAAGATCAGAGTAGAAGCAAGACCTTCATATGTCAATAATTATGCTTAATCTAAATGAAGTGAACTTGCCAATGAAAAGATACAAAGTGTCTGTTGGGATTAAAAACAGAATCCAACTTTCTGCTGTTTCCAGGAATATACCTGACCTCCGTAGATGAGTGTCACATCAGAGTAAAGGGTTGGAAAACAGACCTACAAGCATATGGGGCCCAAATGAAGACAAGGACAACCATACTTGTATCTGATAAAATGCAAGATAGATTTCCACCTAAAAAAAGAGACATGGATAGAAACTATATAATGACTAAGAGAATAACATGCATCTATACCCACCAAACCAAAGAGCATCAAAATATATAAGGCAATCACTAACAAAACTGAGACAGACATTGGAAAAAAACACATTGGTGTAAGGGGACGTCAATATCTCACTTTCACCAAAGGATAGAACAAGGGGTTAAAGGGTACAATAGCCTTAAACAAAGAATGAGATCACATGGGGTAAAGCTACATTTATAGGGGACAGCATTCCCCCCAAAAAAATGCCAAATACACACTCTTCTCAAAGACTGAACCACAGATTGAGTCACAGGACAAATTCTTGAAGATTAAAATCATATCAAGTAGGCCCTCCCTGGTGGCGCAGCGGGTTAAAGCACAGCACTGAGAATCTGAAGCCACTTCCGCATGAGTTCGATTCCCGCCTGCCGCCTGCCCCGGAGGAGACCACATGGCGAGCCAGACCTCTCCTGACCCGCCCGCTGCTCCCCTCAGCAGTGTACTTCGTCGATCTGCCTGTTCTGCTCCCCACTCTGTCTCTGGTGAAGCCTCTCACCGCCCCTGAGCCTCTGGCCTGTACCCCAGTTCTGTATGAATAAATAAATAAATCTTTAAAAAAAAAAAAATCATATCAAGTATATTCTTTGATCACAAATTCAAAGTAAAAATCAACCACAAAAATAAGGGGAAGACTTCTAGTGTATGGGTATTGAACAACATTCTACTGAAGAACCAGAAATTTTAAAATACTTGAAAACAAAAAAATAAATAAAGTCACAACATATCAGAATGCATGGAACCAACGAAAAGCAAAACTAAGCAGGAAGTATGTAGCAATAAAAGCCCACAACAAGAAATAAGAAATACCTCTCACCTTAAGATTTTAGAAAAAAAGTACAAACAAAACCACACCAGTAGAAGAAAGGAAATAATAAAAATTAGAACAGAAATAAATGAAATGAAATTCAAAAAGACAGTCCAAAGGATCAGTGAAACCAAGTCCGTTTTTTGAAAAATTCAATAATAGACAAACTTCTATCTTGACTCATCAAGAAAAAAGTGAGAGCTCTAAATAGAATCAGAAATAAAAGACAAGTTACAGACATTGCAGAAATACAGAAGACCATGTGATTACTGAGCATTTATGCCAGCAAATTGAATAACCTAGATAAAATGAATAAATTCTTGAGAATGCTGTGCAGTCCCCAAATATTCCTGGGACTTCCATAAACTAATTAGTGTACAAAATTTAGGGATTGAAAGCCAAATCCACATTTTTGGTTAGTTCGTTCCATTTATTGGACTAGTTCCAAGGTAGATTTATGAAAGCTTAAGGGTGGTCTAGGAGAATACATATTTTCCTCCCTTCCCCATGGTTGTCACAACCATGCTAGATCCCACACACAGCATCCCCCCTTTGCCACCTCCCTTCCCCTTTTCTCCACTGCCCTT